CTATACGCAAACACGGCGACGTGGAACTGATTCCTACTGTGACGTGGCATGCAACGACGCTGTTGACGCGGGCAACAGGCAACAGCGAACGGAATAAAAGCTGGCTGAGCAGTAAGCGTGAGTTAGTTGTAATGTGACCGTCGATGAGTTCAGTTGTAGTCAAGTTAAAGTGTAGCCATCCCCGGCGACAGTTAGTGTGTGATACTCAGTGACAGTTTGTGATAACTGAGGATTAATTGAGAGTGTGTAACACAGGGACACTTACATAGCTCCCGTACTGTAAACGTGTAGACTACTGAAGACAGAGTGAATTGATTTGCGAATAGGGTTATAAATCGTGAAACCCCACAACAGTGTAAACAGATTATTGTGATTAGGGTTATAAAGTGTGAAACCCCGCAACTGTGTGATAATTAATTGTAGCCGTTACTTGTAGGTTGTTGAATAAACCAATTAACAATCCAAACGGCGTCTTCAGTATCGAAACACGTTACAATATACTTAGTTTTTTTCTATGTTTACTTCTAGACCAACCTCCTTACTAGAGTCAATTAAAGTTTGCGTGTTTCTCTTTATGGTATCTGTATTATCACCCAGTAGATTTACATCATCAGCATAGATCAACAGCTGGTGTGTCATGTTTAATTTCAATCAAACCTAGTTTTCTTGGACCTTCCTAATGGCATATTTTAAAGAAAATTTGAAAAGCAGTGGCAGTAAAGCATCTGCTTGTTTTAGACAGTTTTGGATAGGAAAATTGTCAGACAAGTGTTTACCTATACAGACTTTACCATATGTTTTGTTTAATCACATTTTATTGAGCCTGACTAGTTTCATGGGTATCCCAAACTCTATCAGAATATTGTGCAATAATTCCCTCCTGACTGTAGCTTAGGCTTTCTTGAAGTCTTATGAATAGCTGATGTACTCTCTCGTTGTACTCCCCATTNCCCCTAAAGAAAATTAGCTACCACCCCTTAGAAAAAAATCCTGGCTGCAGCCATGAGTAAAGGAGATGTGTTCCAGGTTAAAGAATTTATACACAGCTGAATCATTACTGTGAGCCGTAAATATCACTCGGTATCTTCATCATTCACTGCCTTGAGCATAGTGAAGTATTGGTAAGATGACTGAACCACCTGAAAATTAAATACAGAACTGCAATTATTAAATTAAGATTAGATCTTGTTTAAAGATAATGTCAGATACAGAACACAAAAGTGAAGAGATACACTGGAAAGAAGCTCAATTATATATTCCTTATGAAAAATGAAGCTAGAAAGTAATTAGACTGCTAACATCTGCTCAGCAATCTGAAAAGCTCAATGTTTATATATACATTCATTTCATAAATTCACACATTTATTCACACTTTCATGTAATACCTGATTCTAATACAATTCTTATAGAAAGCTGGTAAACAAAGGATTTGAAAATGAAAGTCTGAAAAGGATAAGGTAAAGATGTTTTTGTGCTTAAGTGCTAACCATAAAGATATGGATATTCTAACTGGAGATGAGTAATCATCTCACACTCTGTTCCTTTAGCCACAGAGAATAGGCTACTGTTATAACTGGACAGAGGCTGGGTGGATTTCAGAGCTGGCCTGGAAACAGTGGCAAAGAGCAATACCATTGCTCTTGCCAGGAATCAAATCCAGATTGTCCCTATAACACAAAACGTCTTTATGAGAATATTACAGTTATTCTCCAATAACATAATTATTTTGACTTTAATCCATGGACTACCTGCCAATATAAACAATTGTAACAAATGTTTCACCATCCACAGCCATCACAGTACATCAATCTCTAAATCATTCTAAATTAGAATGATTTCCTATTCTATTTTTCATTGTGACATATTACATTCATTATACAGTGTGTTTCACGACTTTAGGTCATAACTGCAGGAGGTGATTTCCTAGGTCTTTGTGATCAAAAAAGTTCATATAAACATATGCCCGATTTTGGACGGTTACGGAGTTATGACCGTTTTAAAATCAGAATAGAAGGTAACGATTACTGACAATNTTGTCCATAGTTCTTCGTGTCATTTCCGGTGGAATGGCAGCCACTGTCTGGGTGATTGCCTCCTTAAGTGATTGCAGGGTTGTGGGGCGATGTTGGACACTTGCGCCTTTAAGTGTCCCCAAAGAAAAAAATCACAAGGTGATAAATCGGGTGACCTTGGGGGCCAGGCGATGTCTCCTCACAAAGAGAGAAGACGTCCAGGAAACAACTCTCTCAGAATTGCTAAAGAACGCCGCGAAGTGTGAGCTGTGGCTCCATCTTGTTGGAACCAGGCTTGTCCCTCTTCATGGTCCCCAACAAACTGGTTTAACTTAGGTCGGAGGGAGATCTCAATCATGTGACAGTAGCGATTCGAAGTAACCGTTACCGTTAGCCCATTTTCCTCGAAAAAATAAGGACCCCACACACCAAATTCAGCAACGGCGCACCAAACTGTCACACGAGGGCTGTGAAGTGGTCGTTGGTGAAGTTCCTGAGGGTTTTCTGCTGACCAGTAGCGGAAATTTTGTTTATTTACAGTACCTGACAAGTGGAAGTGGGCCTCATCAGATGAAATCAAAACAGCCCCAGAGGGAATGTTCTGAAGAATGTCCTCACACACAGCTTTGTGAGTTTCAAAATCTCTCTCACTTAATTCTTGGGTAACCATCATTTTGTATGGGTGCATGTGTAGATTTCTGTGCAGGATTCTTCTTACACTCCTATCAGACAATCCCAGGGCAGCTGCATGTTTAAGCGCTGAACGCTTTGGAGATTGCTGGATGGACGCTCTCACACGCGCCACATTTTCCGGCGTTGTTACGGTCCGAGGTCGGCCAGGCGATTTCTTTTTCAGTGCAGAACCTGTTGCTCTAAAGTTTGATACCCAAACGTGAATAGTTTTTCTATCCAGAACAGGATCATGTCGGCCAAGTTCGAACCGAATGCGAAATGCTCGCTGAGTAGTAATCACCGATTCACCATTACGAATATACTCTTCCACAACAAACGCACAATGCTCACCGTGCCACGCCATTGCGACTACTGCAAACGGCACTTCTACCGCTATCGATCGATACCCCCTCCGCCGCTGTATCCCCACCACAACTCACACAGCGCCCTCTCCAAATACGGGAGGTCGATTTGCTGGACCCTGTATTATCAGGCATGTATTATCAGAACATGCAATATTATGTTCTTCCATGATCTTTGGTCCAACAAAGTTTGAGGGTAAGTTCATTTATTATTCCGGTCACAAACAATATCCCAATTTTTTTTTTTAGTTCTAGTACTGTTACGGGAGTGCATGTCAGAAATTGTGAATGTTATGTGAGAGGGTGGGGTGCAGCACCAATCACTTGGCCAGCATACAGGTACATTTGTTCACAAACAAACTCAAGAAAATTATTTGTAACCAGCAGTACCCGGCCATGCGTTGCTGTGGCTCAGTCTGGTTAAATGGAAAAGAAAGAAAAGAGAAAGCGCATATTTCTAATATGTTTAATTTCACAATGCTTGTGGGTATACAATGTTTTTTGTTGTTCCATTGTCTGTGCAGATATAGAGCTTGTCTGGTTTGCCGACTCTAGAACACGCAACATATAATTGTCCATGTGAGAAGCAAACCATGTCTAGATCCAAACCGCACAATTCTAAAGATTGGCCCTGAGCTTTGTTGATGGTGAATGCAAACACCAATCGAATTGGGAATTGCAATCTCTTAAATTGAAATGACACATCCATTGGAATCATAGGAATGCGAGGAATGAGGACATCTTCACCTCTGAAAGGTCCTGTCAAGATTGTTGCTTCTACGAAGTTGCTCAATAATTTTTTTACTGCAAGCCGCGTGCCGTTGCAAAGCTTTGGCTGGTTGATATTTCGCAACATGATAATTGGCACGCCTGTTTTCAATTGCAGTAAGTGCAGTGGCATCCTTGGAAGATCGAGCGAATTCAAAAATTCTGTTGGATAATTAACCGCTTCATCTGCTTCAACAACAGTGTTGACGGACTTATATGTGACTGCCTCGCATTGAATGTTAGACTGAATGATATTGTTAAGTTCGTAGACGTCTTTGTTCTTGGCCGCAAGAATAGCTCGTTCACTCAGCCAATCATAATTCTTATAATTGGTTTGAATATTGGGAAATACTTTTTCAACCAATTCTTCTTTTGACGTCACTAAATTGCAGAAGTTATGAGACAATGAAATTCGTCCTCAGGTCAGATCAACCGGCACCTTTCCATTCCCAATTTCCAGCAATTGATGTGAGAATATCTCAGCTGATCGATCGTTTTGCAGCTGGACACGCATATTTGTAGTTAATTTTAACGTCTTTACGTGTCACCACAAAGTAGAGTATTTCAGGGAAGCATTTATTTCGTCCGCTGGTGTCGATCAAGGAATTACAGGTAATGTTTGCCTGAAATCTCCTGCAGGCAATTTTAATGCATTCCCAAATGGTCTGATGTTTCCACGCAAATCTTGCAACGATCGATGAAGAGCCTTGAGCGATTTTTTGTGTGTCATTGTGCATTCATCCCAAACAATAAGTTTGCATTTCTGCAATACCTTTCCCATGCCTGATGCTTTGGAAATGTTGTACGTGGGAGTTTCGATGAATTGCACGTTCAATGGCAATTTCAAAGCGGAATGAGCAGTTCTCCCACCTGGTAGCAATGTCGCAGCTATTCTGGACGACGCAAGAGCTAAGGCTATGTCATTTTGGGATCGAATTGCTGCCAGAATCAATCTAATTAGGAACGTTTTACCAGTTCCTCCTGGCGCATCCAAGAAGAAGATTTCTGCAACCTCGTTATTGACAGTTTGCATTATTTGATCGTAAATGCCTTTTTGCTCAAGCATTAGCTTAGGAATTTTGATTGCACATATGACAAAAGCTCACCCGTGTTGTAATTTTGTTCACGACGCAATTCTACATTGAACGAAGCAGCAGCAGATCGATTCGGTGATGGCATTCCCAATTGACTGAGAACTTCATTCACGATTTCTAAGCACAAATCTTCAATCACTATCAACGCTTCATTGTAGATTTCTGCTGTGAAATCCATGTTCATATTGGAATTTTCCTTCATGCAAATCCTTATCGATGTCGGCATCGGGTATTTCAGCGCATATTACATCGTCGATTTCGTTTGAAGTGATTTTGTTATAGAGCCAGATTAGTATATGTGCGTGTGGCAATCCTCTTTTTTGCCATTCCACTGAGTACATCCAGCAGTGCACAGACACCCAAACACTTCATGTTTTACCACGAAATCCATCAGTGATTTCAGCTTCTGTCTGAAAACACGTGCTGTGATGTCATGCCTATCCACCGGCAATTGCCCAGGAAGTAAGAGCTGTTGTATATCATCCCAAGCTGGACTGCATGTGAATGTAATGAATAGGTCTGGACGCCCATAGTGAAGAACATACGCAATTGCATCCTGAGTGTACTCATGCATATGACGTGGACTGCCTGTATATGAAGATGGCAAAATGGTTAGTCTTCTAACGTTAGTTGTATTACAGTCATTTACAACTGCATCTCGCAATACCAGACTAACTTCTTCGGCGGTTAATTTTGGACTGCCTCCTTTGGCAGTTAATTTCAGACTGACTGCTCCCTGTCGAAGCTGGGCTATTTATACCTCGGCTGTTGCTATACAATGCCTTCTATTGTCTATCACCGGGGAAACGCTGCTTTGTTGATTCTGCGATTCCTACGCAATCACCCATTGTTATTGCGTTGTCTCTGTGGGAACGCTCCGTGTATTCGTCGTAACCGTGGAGATCCGATGTTCTCGACACAACGGCTCACTGTTGGGATTACAGTATCGCTATTGTTACTTCCTAGGCAACGGCCAACTGTTGGGGCTACAATACCGCTATTGTCAATACCTATGCAACAGTCTGTTCTAGCGTTACTATGGAAGTGACTCCTGGATTCCGAACATGTGACATGTTTTTACCTGTCACAGGTGTGACATCTATATAATAGGTATATAAAAACACGCGCGTATTCGAATGCAATGTTGTGTCAAAATTTCAAACCAATCGGTGAAGAACTTTCGGGGATTTAAGACTTTGAACAAACGAACATTTACATTTTTATTTATCTAGATAAATAAATTCACACCAAAAAAATAACTTTAGTGTCCTGAATGTCAGTAATCAGTCCTGTGTTTGCTATAAATGGCTGAAGAGGCAGACAGTACCTTTGTGATGTTTTGGGTGTGGCCTCATCTGAAACATCACGCATCAAGGCAATTTCTGGAGATTCTGGACTTTCACTTTCACTTGATTCACTAGAATCTGATTCTGGAAAAATATTCATCAACTAACTCCTCCATTATACGATCACTACTCAGTATCTTCTTGCTTGCCATACACAACACATTACACCATGAGACGTGAGCAGACGCGCTGTCAAACTGCATGCTTATTGAAACACAGGATAAGGAAGAGGAATAACAGTGATATATGATATACAAAGCCATGAAAATATTGATGCATATGCCATCTATGAATGCAGTTACCAACTATGCTATATAATCACTGTCTGAATGAGAAATGTTTGCACGCGTTGCTATCCAACCTAAGTCAAATATGGGTCCCTACATATGAGAACACTTACCCAACTGCCACTCAGATGTGAAAGCAAAACTGTTAACGAGCACTGGTTTGAGAGAAAGAGGTTCTAGTACCAAGTGAATAGTGTGGCAAAGAGAAAATCCTCTTCCTCCCACGAATCAAACCCTTGTCAGCTGACTTCAGCCAGTCACATCTCTTACTGAACTGTCCAAAATTTACTTACCTTAGTAAAATTTTCAAGAGTCAATGCTGAGAAACCACCAGCAGTCAGCTTCACTGGTCTCTTGGCTCTCTCCATTAAAATATGCAAGTCCTTCCTGAATTTACTATTTGCAGTGTGCCACTCACAGTGATATGCAGCATTTAGAATCTGTGAACTCTGAAATGTAAACATAACTGTGTCAAAAGCAAACGACAGTTGCACATATCACACCTTTATTAAAAAAAAGCATGGGTTGGGAGTGCAACAGGGACAGTGGACTGAGGAAGTTGCATAACACAAGAAACAGTCTTCTTAAGAGCCCAACAAAAGATAATGGGCAATTGGTGTTCCCAAGTAGTCACCCATCAGAATGCTCACCAGGTGTAATGTTACTTAAAATTCCAAGCTCTGGGTTGAGTGGTGTGGGAAGTGGCAGAGATCTCACTAGTCACTAAGGGTAGGTTTCTTCCTTCCTATCTCGGTTGGAACCTACCTCCAACAAATGGTGATTGTCCCACCACTTTCCATACTGCTACACCCACATCATAGGTTAACCAACATTATGCCTCGTGAGAACATGGATAAGTGACCACTTTCTGATGTCTTTTGAAGCACTCCGTGGTCCGTGAAAGAGTCATTTCTTTCCTTGCACATCTTCCTAGTGCACTATCCCTACTGACTCAGATGGACTACAAACTCCCACTATTCCTCCCCCAAGGTTTTTCCAAATATTAGCTTATACATACTTAGAAACTCACCCACCTTATAAATTTTGACCCTGAAGAGAGAGGCAGCATTTACCTAAAATGTCAGCAACATTGCCCATACAAGTATCCACACAGTGTAACCACCCAAGAACTGAATTAACAAGTCTGTCACCATGAAAGCATGAAATCAGTAACCTGAAATATCTCTATGAACTTCAACACAAGGAATTCGAGAGAATGTATCTACAATTACATTTTGAAAATTCTTTGGACAAAAATTTAAGTATTATAGCTGGCAAAAGAACAGTCTACTAGCCTAATTCACAATGGTGCTGGCTGCAGTGGAAGTGGTGGTGGTGGTGGTGGTGGGTGATGTGATGATTAAAAAAACAGGGTTTCATGTCATGATAATGGTTATCCAGTATTCTTTGCTGAGGCCATTTTAAGATTTCAGTATTTTCATATATAGGGAAATTGAGAAGTCGTGCACTTCACACTAAGCAATTATATTTTGCTGGTTTAATGCACAAACAACAAGACATGCAGCACTTACTATTAATGTTTATAAACTTACATCTTAGAAACGCAAAATCAAATCATGTCTTTATAACATATGCTCGAAATGGCTTCCCTGTTCAGCAACGCATGCGTGAGCTCTTTTCACCACATCTGAGCCCACTTTGCGGAGCACCTGTAAACTGATGCTGTTAATCGCCATCATAATGTTCCTTTTGAGGTCATCCAGTATATGCGGATTGTTTTTATAGACAATTCCTCTGAGGTACCCCCAAAAGAAAAAATCTGCGGGTGACAAATCGGGCAAACGTGGGGGCCACAATCCTTTCGAAATGAGACGGTCACCGAAAAATCCACACAAGAACTGCATGGTTTCATTAGATGTGTGACATGTGGCACCGTCTTGCTGCAACCAACACTCACGTTCATCAACTTCAAGAAGCACAATAAACTGTGTATTGATGTCTTGGTACAGTGTACTGTTCACTGTTGTTCCAAAGAAAACTGAGCCCACTATCTGACGACGTGATACAGCACAGCACACCACACCACACTCCAATTTTCTGAGAGTGCAAAGGCTTTTCATGTAACATGTGGATTTTCAAATGACCAAATCCTATTGTTTTGACTGTTCACGTAGCCACTAAGGTAAAACCATGCTTCGTCAGTGAAGAAAACCCAATCAAACTCTTCAAATCCTTGGTTTCCAACAAATATCTAACAACATCTACAATTCTTGGGAAAACAACAAGTCTGTCACGCAATAAACAAAGCTATACTGCAGACATCATATGACTGATACATGACAGATTGCATTTCTACTCGTTAGTATTCCCACAGTACCATCTAGCAGTAGGAGATATAATTATATTAACTGCAATACAATTTATAACAACTTCTAGTTTGATGTGCGCGACTTTTCGATCTCCCTGTAGATATTCCTGATTACATATTAAATTTGCACATGTACAAACATATTCAGGTTCTGAGTTCATTCAGAATACAAAAAAATCAAGACTGGAATAAAAGGTGTTTACAGTCATGTTTTCTTAGGTGACTGTTCTTGTCAATATGGAAAGAATTTCTAGATGTCCACCTGCAAAGACTGCATTTCATGTAGTCACTGTGAAAATTTCAAACCTTATGAACTGTGATAACACTTAAAAGTCCAGTTACCTCTAACATTTTTATATTTGTTATGAAAGGAGATGCTGACCATGCTTGAGAAACATCATGTGTAAAGCAACCCTTACCTCTTCCAGCAGTTCACCTCCAAACCAATAGAACATTCCTTGTTCAATGAGGGCTGATATAAGTGAGATGAACAACTTCGCAAATTTGGTGCTCTCTGTGTGAATCGGAATCTGAAATGTACAGAATCATTACATGCCAATGTACAATACGAAGGGGGACCCAAAAATAACCGGAAACGACCTGTTGCGTGCGCATGCTTTGTAGTTACGAGTTGTGCTGCTACGTGGTGTTAGCTGGGGGTCTCCCGCGACTGTTAGTGAGCTGGCGTCAGTCTGAGTTAAGTGGTTTGTCTGTGGTGCTCTGTTGTGTGCGTTCCTGTTTCAACCCTTTGGCGATTAGTGAGATGGCCGACCAGAAGGTGTGCCGTTTCCCTCCCCCATGTGGATTT